CTCTCTCTCTCTCTCTCTCTCTCTCGCTCTCTCTCCTCTCTCTCTCTCTCTCTCTCTCTCTCTCTCTCTCTCTCTCTCTCTCTCTCTCTCTCTTCTCTCTCTCTTCTCTCTCCTCTCTCTCTTCTCTCTCTCTCTCTCTCTCTCTCTCTCTCTCTTCTCTTTTCTTCTTTTTCTCTTTTCTCTTCTTTCTCTTTTTCTCTTTCTCTCTCTCTCTCTCTCTCTCTCTCTCCTCTCTCTCTCTCTCTCTCTCTCTCTCTCTCTCTCTCTCTCTCTCTTTCTCTTCTCTTCTCTTCTCTCTCTCTCTCTCTCTCTCTCCTCTCTCTCTCTCTCTCTCTCTCCTCTCTCCCTCTCCTCTCTCTCCTCTCTCTCTCTCTTCTCTCTCTCTCTCTCTCTCTCCCTCTCTCTCTCTCTCTCTCTCTCTCTCTCTCTCTCTCTCTCTCTCTCTCTCTCCCCTCTCTCTCCCTCTCTCCCTCTCCTCTCCCTCTCCTCTCCCTCTCTCCCTCTCCCCTCTCCCTCTCTCCCTCTCCCTCTCTCCCTCTCCATCTCTCTCCTCTCTCTCCTCCCTCCCTCCCTCCCTCCCTCCCTCCCTCCCTCCCTCCCTTCTCCTTTCGCCCTCACCCTCTCCTTCCCTTTCCATCCCCGTCGCCCTCGCTCGTTCTCCCTCCTTGGGCGTGACCAAGTATCTCTGCTCACGTCTACTTGCTGAGCGAAGAAGTCAGGAGGAGCGGCGGAGGAAGAGGAGCAGGGGAAGTTAGAAGGGGAGAGGCAGGAGGAGAGGAAAAGAAGGAGAGGTGAGGAGAAGAGGGAAAGAAAGTAGAAGAGGGAGATAAAGTAGATGAAGTGGGAGATTAAAGTAGAAGATGAAGAGGAAGAAAGGAGAGTGGGGAAGAAAAGGGATGGGAGAGGAGGAGGAAAAAAAGGAAGAAGAAAGAGGAGAAGAAGGGAGTGGGGGAAGAAAGAAGGATGGAATGGGGAACAGAGGAGTGAGAGGAGATGGAGTACCAGGATCAGGAAGAGGAAGTGGAGGAGGAAGAGACGAGAGAGAGAAGGAGAAGGGAGAGGGAGGGGGAGGGAAGGCGGGTAGGAGTGAGAGTGGGAGGGTACATACAAGGATGATGATGAGGGGAAGGCTAAGGAGAGGGAGGCAGGAGTAGGAGTGTGTGTGGAAGAGGCACAGGAAGGGCGAGGAGGAGCCAAAGGGGAGAGAAAAGAAAGAGGAGGAGAAGAAAGGAGCGGGGGGGAGGAGGGGGAGGAGGTATGAGTGTGAGGGGCGCTCGGATGGCGATGGAGACGAGAATGAAAATGAGGGCAATAATGAGGATGCTGAGGAGGAGAAAATAGAAGAATACTATTCCGGATAATGAGAACGCGCAGTGCCAGCGAGATCAGAAAGGTGGATAATGAGAAGGAAAAAGATAAGGAGAAGGAGAGCAACCAGGAAAGGCGTTTAAAAGTCGGGAACGAGAGCCTTGGCTGCAAAGGTTAAAGACAAGGGAGGCAGACGGATGAGAGAAAAGGGAGGTGATAATATGATAGTAAACGGATAAAAGCATGCGAAGGGTATTAAGCAACAGTGTGCCGACCCCTCTCCCCTGCGTCCCCCCCCCCTCCCCTCAAGGTCGATATGCCCTTACATCATCAAATGTAGGCTAACGTGGCGCATCATTGTAGTGGCCGAAGGAGGGGAGCCTATTGTGTAAAAGGGAGAGGGAGAGGGGGAGGGGACAGAGAGGCAAGTGTATTAAGGGAGAGATGGGCGTGATAGGGCAACGGAGGGCTTCACGAGGCTGGGGTTCTAGGCTTGTTCGTGTGGATGCGCTTGTGTGTTTGTCTTTGTGTGTGTTTTGTGTTTAAATTCGTTGTGTTGGGGGTGGGGGATCAGCCAACCGTCGCTATGGGCTTGTTTTCTTTCAGTTCGAATATTATTCTGTGACGCATCAGATTTGGCCCAAACCTCTTTCTGAAACTTTAAGTCCCTGACAAGTGAACGCAGCTCCCGATTGTGTTTGTGCTGGGACCCTCTTCCCTGCGATGAAGGCGCCGCCAGCCTCCGTCTTACTTCTCCCCTTCCAAGTCAACATCAGCGCCTCATCCCTTGTTCAGATCTGCCTTCCTGTCAACATTAACCTCCCCGCCGTTGCCTCCCCCTGTTGATATCCCCGCCTCTCCCTCCCTCCCGACTTTTCCTCCCCGTCCATCGTCCACTTTCCCCTGCTCCGAGCCTCCCGTGTCCCCTTGGCAAGGTTTGCCTTATGCTCACTTTCCCCTCCACCCAGCCTCCAGGTGCCGTTTCCCCTCTGCAAGGTTTCTCCTCTGTCAGCTTTCCCCCTGCCCTGTTTCCCTTTAGCCACGTTTCCCTTTTGCCAGGCCTTCCCTTCTGCCCAGCGCCCCTGCGAGCGCCCGGACCCTTCGCCAGGCAACACCTCCAGGCGCCTCGAGCTCATGCAGCTGCAAGTTTCATTTCCCTCTCCTCTTCTTCTCCCTTGTGCCTCTTTCTCTTCCTCTTCCTCTTGGTCTTATTTTTTTCTCCTCCCTACTTCCTAAGATTCAGTCGCAAGGAGGAAGAAACGATCAGAGGAGCTGGGGAGATGGGGTGAGGATGGTGGAGGACTTGGAGGGAGAAAATGAAAATAGATAATGGAGGATAATGAAAGGGAGGAGAAATATTAATGAAATAGATGAAGATGGTAGAGAAGAGCAAAAAGTGAAAAGGAAGGAATAGCAAGAGGGTCGTAACGAGAAAAACCGGTCATGAATGAAGAGACGGCGAAAGGCATGTAAAAAGATTTTTAAAAACTGAAAAATAAGGAGAGAGACGAAGGATAAGAGAAGAGCAAAGAGACAGGAATACGAAATAGATTAGGAATTAAAAGGAAATCGAGAAGAATTAAAGGCGGAAAGGGAGACAGGAAACGAACCAGCGGACAAATGGACTATCCAAGCGAGGACAGGATCTCGGCCCTCGGCGCCCTCTGCGAGACGATCTGAATATGACAATCCTGGAGGAGGAAGGAGGGGGAGGAGTCAATTTCCTCCCCTTCCGCCAGGACTCCCTTGGCCGCGGGAAGGAAGGGAGAGAGGGAGAGGGGAAGGGAGAAGACAAGGAGGGGGAGGTGAAAGGGGAGAGGAAAGAAGGATATTATGAGGGAGCAGGAGAGGGAGATAAAGATAGAGAAGAGATGAAGGTGGAGAAGGAGAGGGAGATGAAGATGGAGAAGGAGAGGGAGATGGAGATGAAATGTGAGAGGGAAAGATGGAGATGATGTGAGGGAAAGATGGAGATGAAATGTGAGAGGGAAAGATGGAGATGAAATGTGAGAGGGAAAGATGGAGATGAAAGGGGTGAGTAAGAGGCAGAAGACAGGGAGAGGAAGATGAAATGGGAGAGGGAGAGATGGAGGTGAAGGGGAAAAGGGAAAGGGAGAGGGGGATGGAGGAAGGGAAGGAGATATGGAAAGAGATGAAGGGAGGGAAAGGGAAAGGGAGAAAGAGATGAAGGGAGGGAAAGGGAAAGGGAGGAAGAGAAAGAAAGACTAATTAATACGTAAAGGGACTACGAGAGAGCAAGAGTAGCACAGAAGTCATAATTTAAAAATGATTATGGTTATGATTGGGACGGTAATGAGAAAACATGGTAATATGATGTGTTGAGATAACCATCGTTATGTAGTACAAACAGTTATAACAAGAAACATGCTACGATGGTGATAACATGGAACCAGTCTTAGAATTTCTTCTCGTTTTACTTGAGTTGATCATTAACATTTTCGTTTTTCGTTTTCTTTCTTTCTTAGAGAGAGAGAAAGAGGGAGAGGGGGGAAGACGGTAAGAGGGAGGGATGGGGATGACAAATATGTGTGTGTGTGTGTGTGTTTGTGTAAGAGTGTAAGAGTGTAAGAGTGTAAGAGTATTTGTGTGTCATTGTTTATACGTGTATGTGTTATATATATTTATCGGAATTATTTTATAGATGTAGTACTCGCTGTGTATGATTATTTATCATATATCTATATCTATATCTATATATATATATATATATATATATATATATATATATATATATAGATAGATAGATAGATAGATAGATAGATATTTGCTCATGATAGACGTATCAGTTTTCGTCCCTGCCCCTCTCTTTCCTCGAACCTGGGATGTGTGTCGGATTGCACTCCCTCCCCGTCTCTTGACGTCCCTCACCGTCCCTCCCCATCTCTTCCCGTCTCTTGACGTCCCTCGCCATCCCTCCCGTCCCGTCCCTCCCATCCCCGTCCCCGTCTCTTGCCGTCCCTCCCTGTCCTCCCCCCGTCCCTTCCCGTCTCTTGCCGCCCCTCCCTGTCCCTCGCTGTCCCTCCCCCGTCCCTTCCTGTCTCTTGCCGTCCCTCCCTGTCCCTTGCCGTCTCTTGACGTCCCTCCCTGTCCCTCGCTGTCCCTTGCTGTCACTCCTGTCCCTCACCATCCCTCCCTGTCCCTCGCTGTCCCTTGCCGTCTCTTGTCGTCCCTCCCTCCCCCTCGCCGCCCCCGTGCCTTCCCGTCGCTTGCCGTCCCTCCCCGGGATCGATCGCCCCGCGCCCTCAGCGGCCCGCAGTCCGCCCGCCACCCCCCGCCCTTCGTCTGCTGAGCAAATGCTCCAAATGGGTTTTCATTTCCGATTCTCGGCAAAGTTACGGGAGAAAAGATAACAGCTGACGAAAAAAGAAAGAAAGAGAAAAGAGAGAAAGAAGGGGAAGGAAGAAATCTTTTAGTTTTCAGAAGGAGCCATTTTTCAGCGTCGTACAGCGCTCTGAAAAGGAATAGACGAGAGCGAGAGAGAGAAAGGGGTAATGGAAGGCACAGACAGACACAGACAGACATGGTGGAGGGGTAGAGGAGTAGTAGTAGCAGTAGCAGTTATTCTACCATCGCAACTGCTATATTTAAATGGCTTCCTGTTCTAGCCATACCTCCGCTGCGACGCCTCGCCCAGCTGACACCAAGCCTATTACAAAATACTTGAGTCTCCTTCAGTGAACCGTGATCGTATGTCTTGGCTTGGTGGAGAGATTGACTGGACTTTGGGACTCTGGGACTTGCGACTGGAGACTGGGACTTGCGACTGGAGACTGGGGCAACTGGAGACTGGAGACTGAGACTGGGACTTGCGACTGGAGACTGGAGACTGGACTGGAGACTGGACTGAGACTGGAGACTGGAGACTGGGACTTGCGACTGGAGACTGGGGACTTGCGACTGGAGACTGGGACTTGCGACTGGAGACTGGGACTTGCGACTGGAGACTGGGACTTGCGACTGGAGACTGGGACTTGCGACTGGAGACTGCGACTTGCGACTGGAGACTGCGACTTCAGTGAACCGTGATCGTATGTCTTGGCTTGGTGGCGAGAATTGGGACTTGCGACTGGAGACTGGGACTTGGACTGGAAACTGGGACTTTGCGACTGGGAGACTGGGACTTGTGACTGAAGACTGGGACTTGTGACTGAAGACTGGGACTTGACTGGAGACTGGGACTTGCGACTTGACTGGGACTGGAGACTGGACTGGAGACTGGGACTTGCGACTGGAGACTGGACTTCACTGGAGACTTTGAACCGTGATCGTATGTCCTTGGCTTGGTGCGGAGAGATTGGACTTGCGACTGGGGACTGGGACTTGCGACTGGAGACTGGGACTTGTGACTGGAGACTGGGACTTTGCGACTGGAGACTTGCGACTGGAGACTGGGACTTGCGACTGGGACTGGGACTTGCGACTGGAGACTGGGGACTTGCTGGAGACTGCGACTGGAGACTGGAGACTGCGACTGGAGACTGGGACTTCATCGGCGGGATATGCTCCTCATTAGTAGTTAAGTTTACTGCTGGTAATGCCCGGTTACTGCCGTCGCCGCCTCCTTTTTCGGAGGGGGGGGGGGGGGGTCCTCCGCAAGTGGCACTGCTAATGCTGCTGTTATCACTGCTTTCATTGTTATTGCTGCGATTTTTGACGCTCGACTGCTTGTTTTCCCTTCTCCTTAACCTCTTTCTCTTCCTCTTCTTCCTTCTTTTTTTCCTCTTTCTCCTCCTCTACTATCTTCTTCCTTCTCCCCCTCCTCCCTCCTCCTCCTTTTCCTCTCCATCTCCTCCCTCCTCTTCCTGCTGCTACGCCTCCTCCTCCTGCTTCTCCTCCTCGTCCTCCTCCATCGTCTCCCTCCTCCTCCTCCTCCACCTCCTCCTACTCCTTCGTCTCCCTTCTCATCCTCATCCTCCACTTATTCCTCCTCCTTCTCGCCCCCTCCTCCTCCTCCCCTCTCCTCCTTCTCCCCCTCTCCTCTCCTCCTCCTCCTCTCCCCCTCCTCCATCTCCTCCATCTCCTCCTCATCCTCCTCCTCCAAATCCAGACGTCTTCGCAGAGTTTTCCAGAATTCATAAATTGCTCTTGTAACTTCCCGTTTTCTTTCGCGCGTTTCCGCTCCTTTTGTGACTTTATTATCACGTTTTTTCTCTGATTTTCTCGTTTCTTTAATCCCATTTTCTCTTCTCATCGGTTTTCCCTTTTGCGCTTTGGCTTTTTTCGTTCTGTCTCCCTAATTCGTTCTTTTCTTCCCATTGCTTCTCGCTTCCATTTTCATTCGTCTCGTGTGCCCATTAGACTTTTTTTCTTTCTCTTTTTCTTCTAAGACTTTACATTATCATTATCATATTTATTAAAGTTTTTCTTTGTTATTCTCCTTCCTCCTACAATTTTCCCTTTTTTTTGTTCTCTTTTTCTTCATCTCCTTCATCTTATCATAATTTTACCTCACTCTTGGTCCTTTCCAAATCCAAGTTCCGTTATTTTCTCTTTTCTCGTTATTTTCCTTCGTCTTTTATCCTTCCGTAATCGCCTTTAACTATTCTTTTTTCTTGCTATTCTTTCACTTCCTTCAACCTTTTCTCTCCCCCGTTCCTCCTCCTCCATCGTCTCTCGTTCTTCCTCCTTCCCTCCCTCTTCTCTTTTCCTCCTCTCTCTCTCTCCTCCCTCCTCCAGTTCTTGCTCTATTTATCTTTCCTCTCCGTCTGTTTCATACCTGATCATCATCTTTCTCTCACTCCTCCGTGAAAACATCCACCGCTTTTTCTTCTCTTCCTTATAAGCATCGTCGTCTTTACATCATCATCTTCCAGTTCCTCCTCATCTTCACCTCCTCCTCCTCCTCCTTCGATCCTTCTCTTCCCACCCTACTTCGTCTCCTTCCCTGCTTCCTCCATCTCCCTCTTCCATCCTGTCTCCCTCCTACCTCTCATACGCCCTCTTCTCTCCCTCCCTCCTCCTACTCCACTGTCATCCCTCCTCCTCCTCCTCCTCCCTCCTCCTCTCCTCCCTCCTCCTCCTCCTCCTCCTCCTCCTCCTCCTCCTCCTCCTCCTCTCCTGGCCTCCCCCTCCCCCGTATGACCTAGTTTGAGCGGATCGTCACGTTGGGCTTAAGACCCGCTCGCCCGGCTCCTCCGCCGCCTCCCTTTCGCTCCCTTTCCTTCTCTTCTCTTCGTCGCCTCCGCCGTCTTCTTCGTCTCCTCTCACACACGTATGTGTATATATGTACACATATATGTACTCATATATATGTACCTGTATATATAGAGAGATATATATACATACATACATACATACATACATACATACATACATACATACATACATACATACATACATACATACATATATATATATATATATATATATATATATATTATATATATATATATACACACACACATACACACACAGATGTGTATATGTACACACACACACCTATTTTTATACACACACACACACACACACACACACACACACACACACACACACACACACACACACACACACACACACACACACACACACACACACACACACACACACACACACACACACGCATATATATATATATATATATATATATATATATATATATATATATATATGTATATATTATATATACACACACCTAAATGTATATCCACAAATATACTTATATATACATATGTATATATAGAGATTTTTATTTATATATATATATATATATATATATATATATATATATATATATATATATATATATATATTTATATAATATAATATATAATGTATAATTTATATATTTTGTGCGTGCGATTATATATATTCATATCAATATATTTTTACATGGATGAGAGAGAGAGGAGAGGGAGGGAGGGAGGAGGAGGGAGGGAGGAGGAGGGAGGGAGCGGGCGCCGGCGGGATCCCGTGGGAGCGGCAGGATCCCCTTCCCTGGGAATCCCCGCGACATTTCTCCTTCTCTTTAGCGTCGTCAATCATGTCTTCGCGTGAGTCTCCGGGATAATTGAGCGCCGCCGTTGCGTCGACGGATCGACGGCGATCCTTCTCAAGGAGCAACGGCCTCTGCGCTCGATCGCCAGGATCCTCGTCTCTGGAGGAGGCCGCTCGGGAGGCGCTCCTGCTGCGGGATGGCGTGCTGTTTGGCTGGCGCTTTGGATGTCTCTCTGTCTCCCCTCCTCTCTTCCTCCTTTCCTGTCTCCCTTCCCCTCTCCCTTCCTGGCTCTTTCTCTCTCTCCTCATTCTCTTTTATTTTCTCTCACTCTGCATCTCTTCCATCTTCTCTGGCTTTCTCTCCTACTTCCCTACCATCTTGCGCCTCGCCTTCTCTCCCCGTTTCTCGTTCCTCCCCTACTCTACTCCCATTTCCATGCCCTCCCTCCCCCCCGCCCTTCAACAAGATGTTCATGCCTTGTGAATCCCTCTTTTCATTATGGAGATTTTGTTCGAGGCTCCCGAGGGTCGTCCAGCGGTTGACCCACAGGACGACGATGGGGCCGTCGACGGGGCTGTGCTCACTCGCTCGCCTCTTGGGGGACAAGTAGTGCGAGGTCGGGACGTGTTTCGGGTGGAAATTCGGTCGGTCGGCCAGTCGGGTGAGTTTCTCGGTCGCTTTTGGGAAGTGAGGAACGAGGAGGACGGACGCCGGGACAAGGAACGATGACCTGTGGACGTGGCATGAGGAACGTATGCTCCGTTCCCCCTCCCCTCCCCTCCCCTCCGGCCTCTGTAAAGCCTCGGGTGAGAGTTCCGATCCCGATCGGGTCCCGATCTTGCGTTGCGCTGAATTTTCTGTATACCATAACTTTGAAATGTGGTCTTGCGCCTCCTTTTTTTTTCTTCTCGCCCTTTTATGCAACATGATGGACCTGGGAACTTGGGGAGGGAGAGAATAGGAAGTTGTTTTTCCAGGAGAGAATAGAAAGTTTTTTTCCAGAAAGAACTGGCCGTCATATCTCGCTTTTACGAGGCTTAAGGGGGATGTACTACGGTCTCCTGTAAATCGCCGAATGACCAGCCAGGAAGTTGTAACTTGTTCAGCGGGAATTTAAGGCGTTTATAATTTGCGGAGGGAAGCTCCACGTCCTGCGCGGGCGTGACCTTCCGGACGCGGCGACGTGCCTCGTGGACGTCGGTCGCCGGGCCGCGGAAGGGAGACCCGAAACAGAAGTGAAGCAACGTCAAAATAGGAAGAGGAAATATAACGCGAATACGGATAAGAAGAAAAAGAGAACCTGATAAGGAAAAGTCTTGAATGTACTTAAGAAGACAGCAATAATCTCAGACAAGGATAAAAACGGATCTGGATGCGAAGAGAAGCGTAATGAGGGTCAGGACGACCGTGACATGGCCTCCCGCCCGCCGGAGAGGTCGTTGCGTCTGGAGAGGTCATCGAGGCGCTCTCGTGATTATCTCGGGAGATTATGCGAGGTGGCGGCCGACCCCGGGCGATGCTTGAGTGTCGTCGGGATCAATGCTGCCGCGACCCCGACCGCACTCGAGGGGAGGGGTGGTGGGAGAGGGAGGGGTGAGAGAGGCTGTGTGGTGGTGGTGCGGAGGGGGAGAGGGGGCGGAAGGGGGGGGCAAAGGAGGCCGAATGCGGGCGGTGGTGGTGCTGGGGAGACCGTGGATGCTTTCATGGCCCTTGTGGTGTTGCCCGGATGGGGCATCCGTGCACTCCTTGGCTCTGAGTTTATCGCCTGTAATGGCAGCTAATACGCCGAGGCGGGAGGAGGGAGGAAGGGAGGAGAGAGAAGGAAGGAAGGGAGAGAGAAGAGGGAAAAGAGAAGCTAGAAGGGAGAGGGAGGGGACTGTAGGAAGGGGTTGATGTTCCGTCATTAAATCTTTACGGCGTGACAGCGTGTGTGTCAGACGGCGACCAAAAGAGATGATGATGAATTCAGAATCCCGCATCGAGACCTCAGCACCTTGAACAGTAACGGCAGAAAGTTGTATGTCGAATATTTGTCGACATTACTCCCTTCGACAGTGTCCTCCTGTCCCCGCTCGTGCCTCAGCAGGGCTTGTAGCGCGACGTCAGGTACAGCCGGGACGCCCTTGTAACGGGGGTGTTGCGCCTCTGCCGCTAAGTTTAAATGGCACATTAGGAAATTGCAGTTGGACTAAATGGGACAGATGCGGGGGAGGGGGGGTGGAGAGGGGATGGGGAGGAAAGAGGGAAGGGGTGAGGGGGAGAGGGGGGGAGGAAGGGAAGGAGGGGAGATGGTAGAGGAGGGAGGGAAGGGAAGGGAAAGAGGGGAGAGGAAGGAGGGAAAAGGGAAGGGAAGGGGAAAACGGGAGGAAGAAGGAAAGGGTTGGAGGGGGAGGGAAGGGCAAGAGGGGAGAGGAAGGAGGGAAGGGAAGGAAAGAAGGGGAGAAGGGAGGAAGGATTCGCCGTTGTCGCGTAAAGGTTAACGAGTCGAGGGCGCTGGCGGGCGGGTGCGCGCCCTCGTCCTCGCGCCTCTCCTTCGGCCAGGGAACGGCGGGGGAT